ATCTATCAATATATCTATCCATCTCATAGATGATAGCCTGGGGATCAATCTAGGGCTTCATTCATTCACTGAACATCTGTGGAATACATGTGAATGCCAGTTCTATGCTGGCTCCACAGGGGCGTGGCTCCTGTCCATGTGTGGTTCTCCAGCTCTCATGCAAAAGCAGACAGTTCATCAGGTCTGAGCAATAAAATGTGATTTGTGCACCAAGCAAGGGGAACGTATTTAGGCTGGATGTCCAGAGACAGTTTTGAGAAAATGATACTTGAAACCAAGGTAGACAGCAGCTGCTAGGGAGGCCAAAGCCTGGGTGGAGACAAATACTGCAAATGTGGCTGTCAAAAGGCTCTGAGAGCCTGGTGGCTGATAGAGTTGGCACACACTTTTGAGTCATTGGTTCCTTCTCTCTGCTGAGATTACTGGGTTTCTACCAAGTGCTGCTGTGGCTCTGAACTCCATGATTTTTCATTGTTATCTCTCCTAGGCAAAGCAAATCCCAAAGTAATCTTTGCATTTCAAGAACTAAAAAACAAGTCACTTGGCATGGAAGTGACCTTGTTCAGGTGCTTGTGGGGTGTAGAGATGGGGAATTAGCAGCGTAAGGAGAAGAGTCACCTGTGAGTGACTCAAACTCTAAGTTGCAGATGACTTGGTTACCCTGGACTTGCATCCCTCTGTACTTTCTTACACTGTCCCGCCAATCTTTCCTGACAACCAGTTATGCATTTCTATTTTTTCTGAGGCAGCCTCTTTTTACACACAAGAAAAGGTATCACATACTCAAGGTGTCTGGAGCACACAGGACTCTCCATGGTGGAAGTCATGATTTTCATTGTTGCTCTGATTGTCAGTTCTTAGATGGAAGGGACCAGATCTTGATTATTCGTTGCCTAGCACCAAAAGCATTCCCACAATACTGTCATTGAAAAGACTAGTGGGGTGAGTAGAAAGACAGATATACAGGTGGTGAATTGATAGGTGTGTAGAAGGTGGGAGGAAGGGAAGGAGAAAGGTGGGGGAGGGAGGGAGAATGGATGGATGGATGGATGGATGGATGGATGGATGGATGGATGGATGGATGGATGGATGGATGGGTGGATGGATGGATGGATAGATGGATCGATAGATCGGTGGATCGGTGGACCGGTGGATCGGTGGGTTGGTAGGTAGGAGAAGAAAGTAAGATAGATGGTGAATGGACAGATGGGTGAGTGATCAAGTGGATAGGATCGAAAATCAGTTCATCTTAACCCATAGTCCTTAATACCAATAGCTGCCCATTAGCTCATGCCTGCTTTTGTGATCACAGAGATAATTGCTGCTAACGCTTCTCCTGGCTTGTGCTGCCCCAGAAGTAATTATCAGTGCCTGTAAGCCATGCCACAGGTATCAAGGGAGGAGAGAAAACAGCACCTTAGGTTTAAAAGCCCCTTGTGGTTTGCAAGCCACTTTACTTCCCATATGGTGCTTGGTTTAGGCCTTGTGAGAACGCCTTGAGGGAGTATCCCAGGTAAGGCCCTGGATCTCCCGGAATAAGCAAGTGTCTCTACCCATGCCTCCCGGGTTCAAATTCCAGGTCCATTGCTACCAACCCACAAGAACTTGAGTAGTTAAGTCACCTTCCTTGGCCTCAGGTACACGTATGATCTGTGGTGATGTTCAGGCAGCCTTTGTAACAAGTGGTTGTATTAACTAATTATCACTTCCTGGTGCTTCTCCATGCACTAGGCCTGGTCTTCAGTATGTCATATGCAATAACTCACCAAGGCAGAGGGGTTCCGTGAGAGAGATGCTCTTATGCCCTGTTTCTTTTGTAAGATGATGAAACCAAAGTCAGTTTGCTTTCCACACTGTTGGGAGGTAAAAAAGCCAAAATCTGAACCAACGCCTGGAAGTTTCCAGAGCCACTTCTCTTATACATCATGTTATCTCTGAGATGATATTCATGTAATATACTAAGGTGTCTAGAATCTAATGAATGCCTACTAAATGGCTTTCCATGGTGTGGTATCACATGCAAATCACAGAAGAGCTTAAGTCCACAGTGCTCTTTCTGCCACTAAGCATCAGGCAGGCCAGAGGTCACGAAGATGGGCCTGCCTCTGCCTTCTCCTACCCACCCTGTTGCCTGGACCAAGGCCTTCCGGTTGCAAATACAAAAAGTCTGTGTGATATCAGGTTACCGCTTATCCCTGAGAAGGTAAAACCCACTCTAAAAGGCTTCTAATCACCCACTCCCTCTAGCAAGGGGTCTACCTACCCTGAGCTCAGACCACCTTACATCTACCGACACCAACAAGGGTCCAAGATACTCCACCTCATTTGATCTTTGTCTTACAAGTCACGCTGCCTTTTTTTTCCTGGGGTTTTTCTCCTATTTTCTTGGACTTCCACAAGACAGTCTGTAGTAGGAAGTGTGTTACTCAACACACAAGCTCCTGTCTCCTACCTGTGTTGGGCCCAGGCCTCCTCCAACCTTGTGCTTGGAGAGAGTCCCCCACACCTCTTACAGATGATGTATGCTGGGTTTGGGATCCTGGTGAGGACCTGAAATCTCTTGTAGCCTTGGAAAGCATAGTAAGCCTGAGTCTCAGATGCCAGCACTTCCCAAAGAGGCTCAACACACTAGAACATACTTGGCCAGGCCCTTCCTATGGAATGGTGAGTCACAGTCCAAAGTTTAAAATTCCCTAACATACCCCCTCTGTGTGATAAATTTCTTCAGTTCTTTTTGTCAGTAAAATGGGATTAATTATAATATCCACCCTATGGAGTTGTAAAGACCCAATGGGAATCTGAGTGAGTGGAGCATGCCTGTACTGCCAGCATCTGGGAGGTAAAGACTAGAGGATCAGTTCAAGGTCATTGGAGGACAGCTTACAAGAGTTACTGTCTCAAAAAGAAAAAACAAATACCTCAATGAGATATTCATTGCTTTTTATTTCATTCATTTATCCATATTGTACAGGATGGATACTAAGATAGCATTCTAGCCGTAGCAATACATGAAATACACTGTCTGCATTCTTGGAACTTAATTCCTAGCAGATGATGCTGTATGGGGTGTGTGTGTGTGTGTGTGTGTGTGTGTGTGTGTGTGTGTGTGTGTGTGTCACCAGGGATGGATCCCAGAGTTATACTGCTGACCTGCACCCACAGCCCTCACATGTGATACTATATGTACAGAAACCTCTTAGCATGGCATCTCATATATGTTTAAGAAACATACACTTGTTTAAGAAATGGAGGGGAAAGGGCTTGTGTGGTGGAGCCTACATGAAACCCTAACACTTTTGAGGTCGAGGCAGAAGGATTCAGAGTTCAAAGTCAAGGTCATCCTCAGGTGCATAGCAAGTCTGGGGATAATCTGTCTCAAAAAAATGAGGGAAAAGAGATTATTGTTTCTATTCATGTACAGAGTTTGCCTCCACCTCAGCTGTTCCTGTGGTGAGTCAGACCTCATGAGCTCAGGATGGTGCCACTGCAAGACCACCTCTGCTCTGAAGGGAAGCTCCAGGCATGCATTGTTTCCCTGGTGCCCAGGTCTCCCCTTGGGGCATTGTGTCCACGCCATGCTCTGTGTCATAGGAGACCTGTTGGTCCCAGTAACCCTAAGCCATGCTGCATTTCCAATCCCAGTTAGAAGTGCCTCCTGAAGGCTGGCACAGGATGCCTCAGCCAGGATGCAGGAGAGACCCCACAAACAGGTAACTCCTTCCAGTGTCTGCCTGAACAGTCCATCCCACCCAGAACTTCTGGGAGAGCATTCCCAAGGAAGGAGGGGGAAGGATAGCATGTCCTATAGGCTCCTCCACCCTCTCTTGCCTCATTTCTGGACAAGCTCCCTTCCCTGCCTGGGGCTTCCCACTGAGAAAATGAAACACACCAACCTGATACAGGTGCCTCTGAAATGTGGGGAAGAAGCCTGTGAAGGGGAAAAGTCAGACAGGTAGAGGGTGGAGTGATGCCCAGGCCTTTCTTCCTTCTTTCATCCCATGCTCTTCACTGCCCACTCAGGATGGCCCGCTGGCTGTGGGTGATGGGAGGGGTTGATCCCCATGCCAGGCTCAACTGAGCTCAGCTGGGGCCCTTTGTCACCCAACGCTTGCTGGGGCCTCTGCTGCTGGTGTTGGGTGTCCTGACGGATTGGATTCTCTTCCTGGCAGCCCACAGCCACTGCACTCCTGCATGGGTAGCCTGGACAGCAGGGAGAAGTAACTCCCTCCTCCCTGCTTCCTGAGGAACCTGTGGGCTGCTGGCTGCTGTCCTTGGTGCTGACTGGTCGGGCTTCAGGTGAGGGCTCTGTGGATCCCAGATCTTGCGGGGTACCAAAGCTCTGGGCTCAAGGACAGCCTCATGAATATCTGGAGGACGGTGATGGGGCCTTTGAGAGGGAGTATTGCAGGAGAGGCATCAGGAACTCGTGGAGAGATGAGTTGTGTCCCAGATTGTGTGGGCCAACAGCTTTCGTAAACATATAGGGCCAGTCAGAGAAAAGGAAACAGAAAAGCTGTGTGTGTTTGAGGGCACATTCAGTTATATTTCTAGAGATGTGACAGTGTGTGACAGCATGCATGAAAAGTGTCTCTATCAGGGTGACATGAAATGGAACACCGTGTTGGTATGTATATGGCAGTGGGATGGGCACCAAGAGACCAGTTGGTGTGTTGTATAGCATCTGGGCTGTGCTTGGCAAGAGGGCATTTGCACCCCAGGGTATGTGTGGGAAGTCAATGTGTCATGTGGGGTTAACGTGTGTCCTGAAGTATTCCCAGGCTATGCCTTAATACTGGAATAGCACTGTAACCATTGGGTTGACAGCATGCAGGTGTATTGAGGAGAAGTTGAGCCAGATATGTGTGGTGAAGAACATGGGTGTGTGTTCAATGATTCCTGAGGATGGTGTATCAACACCTGTTCCTTGATCCTCCTAAGCACCTGTCCCATGGGACTTCAATGTCTAATCCTGATCACCCACTCTGTGATTGTCTCCACAGGAACTTTCCCGACCATGTAGATGCCAGCCCCAGGGAACAGCATGGGCCCCGATGAATGGAGACTCCTGGGTCAGCAACCCTGAGCCTCTCTGGGCCCTGGACCTCACCCCACTCCTGGGGACACTCCTCAGAGCTCTCCAGTGCTGTTGCCAGCCCACCTCAGCCATCACCACCTTCTGGGACACGGAGTCAGCCACCTGGAGCTACTACCCTCTAGTGAGGGTGTACTGAGGATAGCCACACACAGCCATCACCCAGAAGTCCCTTTTCCAGTGCTGACCCCCAGGCCCAGCCTGAGCAGAGACTTCAATAAATATGGGTGATATGACCAACAGCGACTTTTACTCCAAAAACCAAAGAAATGAGTCGAGCCATGGAGGCGAGTTTGGATGCACCATGGAGGAGCTGCGCTCCCTCATGGAGCTGCGGGGAACCGAGGCCGTGGTCAAGATCAAGGAGACATATGGGGATACTGAAGCCATCTGCCGGCGCCTCAAAACCTCGCCTGTTGAAGGTAAGTGTGGAAGATTTAAACCCAGTCTGCTGCGGAGTTGGCCCCAGGGCCTGCATTCTTGAAATCTAATAGTGGGGATGTCTCCAAAGTGGGCTGAAATGCTAATGCCTTCAGAGTCTAGCTGCATTCCTGCAGGGAGGTTGAATCTCATCACAGGTCACATCTGGTGCATGTCACTTGCAGGGAAAAGGACAGTAAGACAATTGGGAAAGGGCTGTACTCGAGAAAGGTGACAAGTCAGCCTGAAGGGGAGCCATTGCCATCTCTGGCTTTGAGGCGGGGCAGTAGGATGACTGGAGGGGACTGAATAAGGAGCCATGTCCTGCTCACTCGTGTCTAGATACAGCATGGTTTCCACACTGTGGTTGTACCGTAAAGTTCAACCTCTAGCCCACATCTGTCCACCATGCCAGGTGCCCTCCAGCTGGCTGTCTGGGGCATGGACCCACAGCACTGCAGACAGGCAGCCGACTCCAGTTGTCACAGCATGCCCCACCTCAAGCTCGCAGTCCCAAATCTAGACTCTAAATAGATCTGAAGATCGCTGGGACTCTGGAGAGAATGGTCTGGGGAGCCAATCACAGGCCATTATGGACGAGATGATGGGTGTCTTTGTAGGTTCTGCCCTGGAGAGGAGGAGGGCTGTCTTACAAGTTTGCAAAGAGAGCAGGCCTGGGGCTTCTAGTGAGAAGCACTCTGCTGCTCCAGTCTTTCCAGAGGCGGCTAGAGATGGGGCATTTCCCCTGAGTAGAGAGCCCAGCCCTGCTGGGGCTCCATTCCTACTCTGCTGCTAGTTACCTGCTATGGCCATGTGGGAACCTTTCTCTACACAAAGCCAGAGGAGCAGGTGGTTGTCTCTGCCATGACTCTCCCTGGCCTGTAATCTGGGGCAATGGCTGCCCTGAGCCTCGGCCTCTTCCTCTGCAATATGAAGCCAGTGCTTCCTGTACAGAAATTAATGTAAATGGGCACACAGTAGATGCTCAATAAGTAGCAAATATGATTTTTCTAGCTAGATAGCAATTACTCCTTGAAGTAAAGAATGCAGTCTGGGATAGGGGTGGCAACTAGGTTTGGAGAAATCTGTCCCCTAAGTCCTGTGTCCATAGCTGGACACTACTAGACATCATCCCTGGGCCATTGGTGCTGAAAGTGCTTTGTGGAGTTCATGATAGGCTGATGTCACATACCAGTACCTTGCTGTTTCCCAGAGACTACTGAGTGTCTTTGGTCTTCCCTCCAGAAGGAGAAGCTGGAGAAGGCTGGCTCTTCTCATTCTATCTGCCCTCACTGATACCTTGCCCATCAGCTGAGCCTGGCAGCATGATTCAGTGGGAAGAGAGAATAAAGGAAACATCTGTTCTGGCTGTAAATTTGAAAACAGCCATGTGGGGCCCTAGGAAGGGTGAGGATTCTTCTTGGGGATACTGCATCCTGCCCCCATGTCCAACCAGCCAATTTCTGGCACAGTGGTCCATGTTCACCTGCCATCCAGCAGGTATCTGGCCTGCCAGGAGGCAGAGAAGCCTGAACGGCCTTTGTCTTTGAATGGGGGGACCTGAATGTTGCTTTAAATGTCACTAGACCCTAGTTCTGGGGGGGAGTAGATGGAAGCTGTGATCCTCTCCCCATGCAAAGAGCTGATATCAAAACCAGATGTGGCTCACTACTTCAGGGTCTCCAACAGGTACAGATCCCAGATTAACAACCCCACTGCTGCTAGTCAAGCTCTCAGGACTCCAGAGCATGGGGCTATGCATGACCAAGTTCTAGCATGAGCAGAACGACTCCCAGTCATCTGCTCTGCACTGCTGCCGGGGAAGCGAGTGTGACCCTGAGGAGAGGGGCTCGGCCTCCTTTCTCTGTGCACCCAGCACCCAGCCTAGTGCTTGCCACCAAAGAAGGCTGAATGTCTGCCCAGTGACACCCTGAGATGTGTCCACTGAGTTCCCAGTCCACAGGGAGCCCTCTCAATAGCTGAGCAACCACACAGCAGATAACTGTAACACAAGGACAGAGACAGAGAGAGAGAGAGAGAGAGAGAGAGAGAGAGAGAGAGAGAGAGAGAGAGAGAGAGAGAGAAATACTGCATTCTGATGCTCCCAGGAGAGGTGAAGCAAGTGGACAGGAAGGCTTCCTGGAGGAGATGTTTGGGTTTGGCTATGGAAGCAAGAGACTGGAATATGTGTAGCATGGCACAGAATACTGCTTCTTGCAAAAATCCAGACACAGAACGTGGTGAGAGCTTCAGTTCCAGGTGTAAATGAGAAACTGTTTTTCTCTGTGTGTTGCCCAGTCAGCCCTGTGCCTCTGGGCTTCTCTGGACTTGAGATCTCTAGGAAGAAAGAGCTCTGAGGCATGAAACTCACCACTGGAATAACCAATCCTGCTACATTGGTTTCTAGAAAGTTCTTCCAGAGTGTCAGGAGAGATGGAAATATGGGGAAGGGCAAGGGGGTAGACTGTTGCAAATATCCAGATGTAGAGGATCTGGGTTCAAATCCCAGCTCTGCCACTCTCCAGCTGTAGGACTCTGGCCATGTGTTTCAGCCTCTCTGCCTGTTTTCTTGTCTCCATGGTGGAGTTAATGATAATAGTGAGGATAATGTGAAATAGCTCAGAAGACACAGTCCAGTCACACTGAATGTCACAAACCAAGTACCCAGTTTCTAGGTACCCAGCAGCAACGGCTTTTATTGTCCTTGTCATTATGGAAGAAGTCATGTTCTCCCTACAGGACACTATACAATTCTTTGGATCCATCGCTAGTATTCTGTGGTGCCCCCATACGTGTGTTTCTGAAAGCAGTTAGCCCATTCTGCAGACATGTGGAGGCCACCACTACCAATCAGACGGGTGCACTATCACACCCAGGGCACTCCCTGGTGGACCAGGCATAAGCGTGACTGGGCTCCCTAACACTTTTCTCCCTGCTGTCTCAGGCGCAGCATCTGCCCCACTGCAGTGGAACTTGTGATCTAAAGAAGTGTTTAACCCAACAGCCCCCCCCCGCGCGCGCCAGCCTCAGCCTCTAATTCAGAAGCTGAATGATCTGAACTGTGCCGGTCCAGATGGAGACTCACACTGGCCATTAGGACCCCCTTCCCCCCCCCCTGCCGCCATTCATCTGCTGTAGAGACCAGAGAGCTGGCTCCAGCCCTGCATTCAGCAGTCTCCACTCATCCAGCTAAATTTAGGCAGAAAGCTCTCTGAGTGACAGATAGGGTCTGAGGCCTCCCGAGGCGTGACTCTGCCTGCAGCGCCACTTGCAGCAACAGACGGGACTCAACTCCTGTGGCCAGCAGTACTGGGTTGTCTATCCAGAGGCCTGACTTTAGAGACCTACCATGAGCCCAGCGTGCCCTCTGCCCCTCTGCACTCAGTTCCGAGCCCACTGCTGGGAAACGCCCTCCCCTGTCCTCCTGCCCATCCTTCTTTTTCCACACTCTTTCCGGCCTGGGATGGTAGGGATTCGATCCTGCGTGGCTTTCTCTTCAAGGGACACCCAGAGAGTTTGGTGGAAGTCCTGATGCCTGATCTGTGGATAGGGGTGACAGCAGCCGCTGGCGGCCACTTGCTTCCATAAGTCACTGAAGCAGCTGAGGAGACGCAGGTCACCTTTGCTCTTGCCATACTGAGTGTTTTGTAAAAGAAGCACACATGGCCCTGCAGTTACGGGAACAGATAAGACCCCAGAGAAGAGTATATATACTCTCTGAGGAGGTGGAAAGTGGGGGGAGCAGTGTTGGTGGCCCCGGCCTGGAGTAGAAGCTTGTATTGTTTCCCAGGGTCTCCCCACACCTGGTACAGTGAACCGCAGTTTAACCAGTGTCCGTAGAGAGAAGAAGGGGTGAGGGAGAGAGAGGCAGTCGTTCCATGGTGCCCCTCCCTGCAAGGGATGGAGCTGGGACCTGGAGAAAGGACATGGACTACTTTGTGTCACTTATGAGACAGGTATCTCTGATTGCCCATGCCCAGCATGGCCCTGAGTCACATGAGGCTCTGTAGCCCTCGCCCTTCCCTCCCCAGCCCCACAGGAAGGGTTCCTGGGACAGGTCGCTGTCAGATGTCTATCACTGAGTGTCTCTTGGTGGGAAGAATGAGGAAACAAAGGGGCCAGGCCAGCACTGGGAACTTGACACCATGCTGCTGTGGTAAAGGGGAGCCTGTAGTTAATTTTAGATGACTCCCAAGCCAACCTACACCATGGGGCAAGGGGCAAAGGGTGAGGGACAGTTCACGGGAGATGGAGCACGCCTGTGCATGAGAATTGGGATGGGAAGAGGCTCTTCTGTTTTAGAACCAGAACCATCGATGAATCTGCCACAGCTGAGGACCCAGAAGGGGCGGGGCAGTGAGTGGAGCCTGCCATCTCCCTGTAGGACACGGGGCCCCTGAGGGGTCAGCTGGGAAACCAAGGTAGGCAGAGATGTAGCAGGTCCCAGGCAAGATGAGACGGGATTCTGGGATGCAGATTCCACATGGGGACTCCTCCACAGACTGGAGACAGGTGACAAGACCTCCCTGGTCCATGGAGGTCTGTCTAGAAGGATTGCTGCTCCTGTGCAGGGCTCTTAACCCTATGTGGTGTGAGGCTCAGAAGAGAAGGACCCACAGGAATGTCTCTAAGGCTGAGAAGTTTAGCTGCCTTCTCACTGGGGTAAGAGAGAAAGACTAGGGGAGGAGGACAGCCCCTACCTCAGTCCTCCTGCTGAGGGGACTTGAGACCTTTGTGGATTTAATTTCTTCTGTGAAGTGCTGTTTGGGTCCCCTTCCACCTCTGGGAGACAGCCACTCATGACGTTTTTAGAGGTTTTCTTTAAAAATTATCTTGGTTGGTAGAGTGTTCACCTGACTTTCACAAGGCTCGAGTTCTATCCCCAGGACCACATAAATCAGGGGTAGTGGTGCACACCTATGTAATCCGGCACTCTGTAGGTGGAGACGGGAGAATCAGGTGTTCAAAGTCATCCGTGGCTACATAAGGAGCCCAAGGCCAA